TAACAGCATCTGCGGAATAGCCGAAAAAAAGGAGGTACTATGCTGCGCGTTGTTTTTTTCTCAATATCATAGGTCATAATGTCACAAGGCGAATAACTTCCAAAAGCATAAAGCACAGAGTTGGGTTCGCACTTCAGCCGGGATCTAAGTGCAGTAACTATGCTTTGTACTAACACCTTCCTTTTGTTCATATCCATGTTTGTGAATTTAGCAGCCTTGAATTCTTCAGCAACCTGAAGATCAGCAATGAACTTCCTTGACATTTCCTCATTAAAACTAGACAATCTGCTTGGATTCCTTATGCAGGAAATCAGAGAGTTTCGCTCAATTGTCAACTCTGTATCAATGTCGACAACGTTTTCGTCGGCTTAAGGTTCTCCTTCTGCCTCGCTGTTGAACTGGAACACATGCGAGTCATCTGCGATTTTGTAAAGTACCTGCCGTTTCCTCTTCAAACTGCCAACCTTTCCAAAACACTGAAGGATATTTTAATAACATGTTATTCTTCTGAATGTCTTAGAGTTTTTGATTCATTGAAACCAACCATTCTCTACAAATTAGGTAAGGTGAGTCTGGAGCGTTTTCACGAAAGTGACCTTCTTCAGCACTAGGTTTACAGAGTATAGATTCCAGAAATGGGCGGGTTTTTGTGTGAAGGTGTGGAAATTCACCAATCTCCCATAGTTTTTTGAGTGTGTGCTAATAATGATGGCATAACTGTCAATCAAAAGTGCATTTTTTACCAAAAAAAACACAAACATATAACAACGATAAGCACGCTCAAATAGACGCGTTCGCTCACGTTCCCGTTAGTGCTGATAACGATGTCAATCCACAGCAAATTTTTTACTATTAACGTGCTCCACCTCGCTCTTATTAGGTCGTCCAGAAAGTTTTTGCGCATGAAGTTTAAAATTCATAACTTCTGATTTTTCCATCCGATTTGACTGCTTTCACTTTGATGTGAAAGAATAAGTCATGCTCTTTATAATGACATCTCAGCTGCTTAGTAATGGTCATCTGTTAGATAGATAGGAGCGATAGAAGAAAAATGGTAAAAATTTTAATTTTCTGTGTAGGGTCATAAGCAATCGGAGACTTGCAACAAAAATCGGAGCAGTCAGTACTGTAGGTTCTTTCACCAGCACTTTCTAACAGTGCAAAGTTTGCGCCGATTGAGCGTCTCCATGAAAAGTTATGATTTCCCTGAAAAATGCCAAAATAAATCAAATTCGCCTTTTTGTATTGCTTGCTCGGAAATCATAACTTTTCATGGAAACGCTCAATCGGAGCAAACTTTGCACTGTTAGAAAGAGCTGGTGAAGAACCTACAATACCGACTGCTCCGATTTTTGTTGCAAGTTTCTGATTTTTTATGACCCTACACAAAAATTCAAATTTTGAGTGATTTTGGTTTTGAGCTTCTATCTATGCAACAGATGACCATTACTAAGCAGCTGAGATGTCATTATAAAGATCATGACTTACCCTTTCACATAAAAGTGAAAGCAGCCAAATCGGTCGGAAAAATCAGAAGTTATGAATTTTTGAAAATTGTGCGCAAAAACTTTCGGGACGACCTATACAATGTGTTGGCTTTTATGGGTCACCGAAGCAAATGATTTTTAGAGCCGTGAAGCAAAGAAGCCCTAACATGCTGTATACCATTCGAAAGCTGAGATCATGGGGAATCGACGTAGACCGTCGCCTTTTTTCCAGGTCTTCTGTGACGCGAGATATGAGGGATTTTATGTGCTTCAAAAATTAGCTGATTTTGTGCCCTCACTTTCTGCTCTCCAAATGAATGCTACGAGAAAGTCGACGGTCTACGTTTGTTGATGAAGACTTGCTCTATCACACAGATAGATAATCAGCAGTGATTAGGTCTTCGCTTGGCAGAAGTCTGCTATTAATGGACCTTTTTTTGGATAAAATGCGGTATATCTCTCGGAAGGGGGACTAGAAAGATAATGGTCTAGGTCGAATCCTCTTAATATAAATCCTCTGAATCCTCAAATCCTTTTAATATAAATTTATGAGTGTACTTGTTGTTTGAAGTAGTTAGCCTGCAAAACCTTTTAATAACGATTTTTATTTTATATTCTCAGAGTACAATACCAATCTCAGCCCAGGTGAAGGGGGTCATCCGGATTTTGGCCTCAAAGTGAAGGGGGTAAGATCCATCACTCCCCCTATCGCAACTATGATTGAAAGGCGCGTGCTCCACCATGTGCAGCACCGGTCCAAAACGTGCTGAAGGCTGCGCTCATACTGATCCGAAACTCCGGAAACACTTTCAGTACAGCGCTTGAAATAAGCGCTGTGATAGAACTTTTTCCGGACTTCGGGATCAGTATGAACGCAGCTAAAGCCGCTAAATTGCATCTGCGCGCTTCGGGACCCCACCGCGGTTTGCTATCTGATGTTTTTGAATAGGCGTTATGATTCTTTATATATTAGATTACTGGCATGCTGGTATTTAGAACGAACTTGCCGTTTCCAACACTCTTAGAAAAATGATCCTAATCTCCCTATCTTACTTTACAGTTGTTGACGTGATCACTAAACGTGCATCTAAATGCAGAAACTGTCCTCGATGACCGAAAGGAAGGATAAAAAAACTGTAAAAGACGGTGCGTTTTCATGTCTTCACCATATGCAAAGTTTACGCACGTATTTGATATGCACCCGCTCGCATCTGGCGTGCTGCTCTCCATAGTAGATTCCCGAAAGGGTATAAGAGGATGTACGGGAGACTAATGAATACGCCCCCGATTGGATTCTCATCGAGTGGCCTCGAACATAAAAGCAGTGTTAGAGCTTGCCGTCATGTTTGTAAAACACCGGAATGCCGAAACCTGTCTATATCAAAGTGCTTGGTGCATTGTGCACAAGTCCAGAAAACAATGTTGGATTGTATACTCATTGTAGGTGCATTTGAGTAGGGGACTATAATGTCGCCGAAAGTGGGAGGTCGCGCCGGACATGTGCAACAAATACACACTCCAGTATAGGGACCTGCAGGATCGCGAGAGTCGGGCGTGCGTATGGCCATTGCGCTGCGCACGTCCGATGTCACTAAGGGGGGGGGGGGGTGTCAGACTTATCCGCTTCAACCGGTTCGTTCGGTTCATAGGTCAAATCACTACACTGTACAACAGCAAAGGTGGTGAGAATGAACCTGTTCAAAAGGATAAGTCTGGCACCTATCCAGGGCCCGGCACAGATGTTTGGAAGCAGGCTGGACTTCGTTTTTGAAGCAAACAACAAAGGGGATATCACTTTTGGCGAGTCGGAACCGAACACCAAGAATAAGCGCCATTTAGTCGAACACAAGCGTTTCGGACAGGTTATTGACATGCTCAATCGTGTATGGCGAAAAGTGCACGCGATTTGAAACCAAGGCTAAAATAAACAAGTTGCTTGTTTACAGCGCACACTGAAGCATATGACACCAAAATTATACTGTATGTATAGAAAATTATTTGCGAAAGGACTATGTAAAATGATTTGAAAACTTATGTGAAGTATTACCTTTTCCAAAATTGGATCGTCTCCAGACGGCCACCAGACGATCTGAGATCGTCTGGAGCATATATTTCTGTCATTTCACATAAGTTTCGGATCTTTTCAGCATGGACGGATTCCCCGGTCAGAAATCTATACCTGAACATGAAGACATTTTCATATCATTGCCTTTCCTTTGTTTTTTGCCTTCACTTCTTCTCGCTTTGTTAAATATCGCGCCCTAACGCCAAAGTCTTGTGCATGCGTAGTATTCAGCTCCAATTTGGATTTTCACTCTTATCCTATGTCTTTTCTATCAGACTAGTAAATCTTTCTTGTTTCCATCTTCTCCTACCAGGTAGGTCAGGAGACTTCGTAAAACTTCCGAAAGTCAGGGAGACTTCGTTTTCAGAAACCCTAAAAACCGACTCGTGCCGGGCCCTGCACCTATCTGAGTCGTCGGACGCACATCTGGCATGCGCGGAGCAATGGCCGTACGCACGTCCGACTCTCGCGATCCTGCAGGCCCCTATACATGCCAATGATGAGTATCTGCTACACTGTCCGCGCGGACCCTCCCGGTTCTGGCGAGATATAGTCCCCTATCCAGTGCACTTTCCAGAAATTAATCTCTAATAGCTGCCTTTTTCAGGTTTAGCCACTGTATTCTGTAATGTGCACCAATATATTATATTATTCCCCCCCCCCCCCCCCCCCCAGCCCCGCTCCCTTTTTGAAGCAGTAAGACCGTGAGATTTGGGAAGTTTTTTGGGACAAATATTCAAGCTTGACATCCCTGCAAGAATCAAATCTCGTTCTCTGCAGGACCTCATTGTGAGAAATTGCTGTTGAGGCAATGGCTCGTCCCTGTAAAAAAGAAATTCCCACGCATTTTCTGCAATAAAGCAAACCCCTCATGTGCAGCTCTTCAAGTGTTTTTCTTGAGATTCTTGATGATGTCGACTGTCTCGTTAAGCATTCTAAGCAAGTGAATTGCTGTTTGAATAGCTGTTCTGAGAATGACAATCAATTCCTGAGACAATGATGAGCTTACGAATTGCTTTTTTACAGCATAGTTTTACTTCGTTAGTAGATGATCACGATAAACAAAGTAAAGGACATTTTGTTTTTATGGAGTAAACATTCCGTTTTATATCTACTTACGAAAAGAATTTCGTATCTCTAAATGTAGCTTGACAAACTTGGTTTTGAAGTGCCCTTCGGTTTTTTACCAAAATTTCTGAATTTATTTTCTCTTTACTGAAATTCCGTGAAAAAACACAGTCGAGGCATGTAAGAATCAAAAAATAAAGCTTCATTGAAATTAACAATGAGAAACACAGCATTAATGTACAATAAAAAATAATTGCGATTCAAAAGCATAAACCCGCTTCGGGCTAACCGCTGCATAATGATACTATGAACATCAATCAATAATTATTCAAACTATTGAATTTATCACTCAATCACTTTATATGAGCTATAATTTGAATGCATAGTAGAGATTTCACCGGGAAAAATCGATAATTGATTAGTTACTACTAGTTACTCGATTATTTTGTGCATCACGATCCGACGTGGGTACAGGCAAAAATCCTTTAACTTTTCGGAATGGTGATGATAGTGTGGTGAAGAGCTGAAGTGACGCAAAATTACGGATTTTTATGAATTATCAAGATTTTTAATAATATTACCGAAATTTTTGTCGTCTTCGTAATTGGAGCACCGCTGTGATTTTCACTTGATTGTGGGCAACACATACTGAATGTATGCAGGAATTCCCTAAAATTCAAGAAATCGAGTAATTTGTGTCTTGAATGGAAAAACCTCAAATTGCTTACCTTCTGAAGACATGCGACATAAGTGCACATAATACAAAGTTCACGGCACTATTAATTAGTGATAAAAGATCGAAGAAATTTCCAAGTGGAGTTGTGATGTACACCAAACGAGGATTAACACCTATAAGAATGTATTATGGAATTAGCAATAAAATTTCTATATTCTCTTGAAAAGAAGCCTTTCTTGTTACAAAAGTCGTTTTTTCGCAAGTTAAAAATGAGTGATGATTTGTGAATTTCAGGGAAAAAGTTTTAGTTTCCCGTGGACATGAAAATCTTGTGAAAGTACGGAAGGTTTTTTTATTAGAAAACAAGTATTCATCGTATCAATTGCAATCATCACCATGGGGAAAATGGCTTACTTTGTTATCAATTTGTAATAAATCTTCAAAAAATTTTGGAGAGAAAAGTATGCAGATTAAGCTTCAAGAAAATATCGTTTCCTGCTGATATACAAAGCTATAACAATCGTAATATATTCTCACAAGTTTAAACGACGTAAAAAGTAGTGCATGTGACCAGAATTATTTGGAATATTATCCATAAATTCGAAACAAAGACACTTTTACCCAAGTTATGCACTAAAAATTACATTTCAGTGGATGTACACATTTGTAATTAATCGTTGTGATTATGTTCTTAATCAATTTAGTTTTTTCTTTCAGTTCTCTATGAAAACATATAACATACCGACAGCTAAGCCAAGTATTCCCTGAGGCAATTCGGTAATAAGGAACACAGCTACGATGCCGGTAAGCATTGCTGTGGTTCTTTCGGCCTGAATATGATTCCTTTTAGAATTTTCCAGCGTTTTACAAATTTCGTTTCGGGTTAAAACATACCTGTGAGTTACCAGTAGCTAAGCCACCACAAAGTCGTGATCGTCTCTCTCGAGCTTCGATAAGCATTAGAACTAGCAAAGTCATAAATACGGTGAGCAGAACACAAGGAATCAGTTTTAAAACGCAGGCTGAAACAAATATTGAGATATTTTGATACTGGAAAACCTGATGTCAAAAATCAAGTAGATGAATGCAAACTTACCAGCCATCCAAAAGTTTACTCGTTCCCATGCGCAGTTATACCAACTTGGTTGTTTTAAGTCGTAAACTTCTATCACGCTGTCTTCATTCCACGATGCACGATATTTAGTTGCCAAGCAGTATTTTGGAACATGCATCTGTGATCGAAAAACTACCTGAAATTCAACTAATCAGGTAGTTGTTTAGCTTAAAAACTCAAAAAGCATATGAAATTAGCGCGAGGCTCATAAAAATTACGATACAGAAGAAAACTTTTGGTTTGTTTTAGAAAAGTGAAACGAAAAGCCGTAAGCGCACATGAAACTGCAAATTTGACGAGTAATGTTAAGCTATATGCATTTTTGGCAGTAAAAAAACCAAACGGCCTAAAAACGGTTCTCTGAAAAAGGACTGCTGACATTCCAGGAGAATGCCTTCTTTTTAAAAAAATCATCCAATTTTGTTTGAAATCGAGATCCGGAAACAGTTTAGACAAGCATCAAAAAAACCTAATTTTCTTGTAGTTTAAAACAAAACTGAAATTTGGATGCTCTCACAAAAAAAAAATTTCTGCGATATTATCCGAATAACTTTGTTTACTTTCTTCATATAAGATCTATGAAGTATTTTCGAATACAGAAAAAACGAACTAACATTATATCGAAGCATATTTGGAAGACTGCCAATTAAAGCGATGATAGCGCCGATGACGATTGCGATAAATGCTGCCGCATAGGTATTGCACTGAGGTAGACGAGTATGCGAACGACTTCCACGATACAGTACCAGATACCTGAAAAAATTATTGATCTGGTGAAAAACCCAAATATCCAGTTAAAGTGGAATTTACCTCATCACAGCCATATTAACAGTGAACCATAGACTAGCACTGTGCACAAATACAGAAAACATTGCATAGAATTTTGTATAGATCATCCATGGATACGAGAAAAACCATGGATGACAGAGATCCACCTATAAAGGAATTTGTTATACACGATATCATTAACATCTGTAACGTTCGGAATTTCCGAATTCAGAAAGTTTTGGTGACTAGCTGTAGATGAGTTTTAAACAATGCTCGCTATCTTGAATATAGAGAAAAGAGCGTTTAATTTAATGCAGTAACGAAATTTTCAATGAAAAATTACTTCTCATTAATTGTGAAAAATTGAAAAGTTATCTTACAATCTCAACTTCAACTTGCCATTATTTCTTTTTCTAACTTGTATTCGAGAGGACGGCTCTACTTGTTTAATCCAAAGCTCCGAGATTCTGGCCCATTACCGTACAACCGTAAACCCGCGTAAAAGCTCTATACGGAACAAGCGTTTTTTACTCTTTTTCTCATAGCTGATTCGAAAAGCATACTCTTTGAAGTTAATAGGGCAAACGAAACATCGTACTACGTTGAAGATTAAAAAGCGAGAATAATCAATGAAGATTAATTAAAACTACAAAAAAGTCGTATTTAAAGTAAAGTGAGACTAATTGGCAATAGTAGAGTGATTGTTACGGAGATTGTATCAATGATAAACTAGGTCTTACTCACTTTTCATTACCCTTTGAAATTGAAAATTCCTGAAAAAATTGTCGCTACTCTTTTCCAACTTTCACTAATTGACTTCGTCTAGCTGTAAATTTGATTTGGAAATCCCACACAATATTTTTCGCTCTAAATTTTCCAAGAGCTCTCACTTACTTCCCTTTAAGATGTGTGGGCAAACTGTTACAGTAATTTCCTTGCACAAACTAATAACAGCCTAGCCAGATTAGACAAAATACGCCATAATACGTCTGTGTTTAATCCTTTCCAGGATCCCTAGGATTCGGCTAGGATGTTCCCACATACAGCGCGATCTATGGTTCAGATGTAGTTACCCGTCACTCGTTGCTAATTCATGCGATGCTCGAGGAGAGCGAACAATACGAATTATTCTTCTGCGTCGTCACGGATTTCTTATGCTAAGAACGCCTACATAAAATTTAAATTTAGCCCAGTTAGCTGGGAAAATCAAATTCGCAAAGACACTTGGCCAAAGCTTAAGTGGGATCCCCTCAAGAGAAGGTTTTTTAATCCCCCAAAAATGCTTGAAAATTCAGCCAGTGGAATAAGAATGCCTATTTAGCAAAACAATAGCAATTCGGATAAGCCTAACGTCCTAGACAGATAGCCTGAGCATTTTAAAGACAAAGAAAAGGATAATGATTAACTCACATGTTTATAGAGAAGATAAGTAGCCATTAAAGTAGCATCACAGATGGCGATACATATAAGGAAAAGATTAAACGGAGACCGCCGCATCGCTGGCCTGAAATATTGAATTTTTACGGCATAAATTCTTTTTCTAAGCGATTTCCAGAATTGACTTGATGAAAAATGCCATTTTGACTTACCGTAAAAGGACAACGACGATGGCGATATTGGCGAATACTCCGACAACACATAAAAAGACATATAGATAAGCATGAATTTCCGAGAAAACGTCAGTGAAAGGAGCGAGGATCTGAAAAAAGTATAGATTAGTAAAAAAAAAAGCATAACACACTTCTCCCCATCAAAAAATTCATATGGTTTAATGTGTAAGCTAGACGAATTGTAGCAGAATACAGTGCCTGAAGAGATTACGGTGTCTTCGAAAGATCTTCAGCTTTCTTTGAATGAATTTATAGTAAAAAGTGATTTCACAACAAAATCGGCTAATCATTGGTTCAGTTATTATTTTTCAAAAAAAAACATTACTAAAAAATTATAACATGGTTTCTTACAGTAACAAAGTACATGGAAATTCGCGCGCAATGCAAATGACATGGGAATGCTGCGGTAAATAATGAGACTACGATATCTTCCATCGAAGGTACTTCTTTGTTCGAGATTTTGGCTAGGAAGTGTTATTTTTTATCAAAAACATTATCGAATATTTACGTTTAATTACTTTTTCGCTTTTTACTATTTATTCATGTATTATACTTGAAGTGCAACTCATGAAACCAAAACGAATACAATTTAATGTAATAGATATCAATAGCAGAATCAAGAAAAGAATCAAGATTGATCAACTAGCATTTTTCTCATGCTAAATTATACCCAGTGTTAGAAAGTTCTAGGGCAGAATATTGGTCAAAAGTTGAGATTTTTTTCTATTCATTACAGTTCAGTATCCATTCGCTTACTATCCATTTTCAGACTTTTTGTATTCTTTCTTATGATTATTCTCCCAATATGAAGATACTCTTCAACATAATGATCGGAAATTCTTGTTCGATCTCTGCTCCCGATGTGAGGGTGCGAGATGCTCGTGGCTAATCAGTGACGATTAATGTCCGTAGGGAGAATGTTCAAGAGGTCTTCCCGTTGGGAGCAAACAATATTACCTTAATTATTCTTATGCTCTTTGCACTCTGAAGAAAGTGGTTCTTTGTTTCTAGGCTAACAAGAAAATTAAATGTCATAGTCAGAGAATTAACCGATCAACAGGATCAAAATGTTGAGGCAGTATAACGAGCGATTCTTTCATATTAATGGCTAGAAATTCAGATTTATATGCTCAAAACTGATTTGCCATATTGCTCAGCCAAAACTGCACCAAACTGACATGTAGATCAAAATCCTCTCCACACGAAATTCACCGAGTTGAACAGCAAAATTGTACTAGACATTGACAAATTAGAAAACTCCAGAAGCTAGAAAAAAATAGCATTTAAAAAAATTTTGATGCAATCTTCGTGCTTCATATCAGCGGCTTCTCTGACGGGTTAGACCAACAAAAACATAGTTTTCATAATCAAAAAAGAATCAAAAAATTGACTGGAAAATGCTTGAGTAAGCCTCTTTTTTCTGGGAGAAGGTGCGGAATGCTAGAATAAAAAAGATTGAGATTGTAAGACAAACGTTTCAGAACTGTTGAAACAAATTGCGAATTTTGCGATTAAAGATTGAGATTTTCCACTTTTAAATTTCAACATTTTTCTTTTCAACATTTTCTAACAAACTATACTGAAGAATAGCGCAAGTGCAAGTTTAATTAAGCTTTCCACATTTTTGACAATATATTAAATTTTGAAACGAAGTATGTACCCCATTGATATCAATCCTTCTTCACCAAGCCAGTGATTTTATTCACCTAAAATTTTGAGCTAACTTTAAAATTTAATGCATTCTCCAAGATTGTGTGGGTATCGCCCTTGAAAATATGTTTGCCATAACTTATTGAAGCTCCCATGAGAGTGAACAAATTGGCGTCATATTTTCGCCCAAGGCCTATTGTTTGCTAGATTTGGAAAACACTCTTGCACTGCTTTCGAAAAAACCAAAAAACCAAGACACCATTAGAAATCTGTTCAAAGTTCAATGTCCAATCCCGTTTCTAGTCATAGCCAACAAATGTGTCTGCTTTGCTAGCAGCAAAGTACACAGCCAGCTGATTGCGTTCTCGTTCTAGAGCTGAGAGGCCTTCGGAAAATCTCTCGGGAAAGGATGAACGATGAGAGTTTTACAAGAAAAAGGTGCCGCTCTTCACTTGATTGAGCAACTAGGAAGCTTTGAGCCCCCGAGCTTCAGGAAAGTCACGAAAGTTGAGGAAAATTCGGCTTGCAGGGACTTTTCTTTGCAAATCTCGCGAAAAATGCGATGTTATTTCTGTCCTTACGTCACTTGTTCATCCTCGGACACAGAGCAAAGACATTACCTCACTTGTCACAACCTATACATCATAACTAAGGTAATTTGTGTGTATTTCGTTGCCCAAAACAGCCTAGGAAAGTCAGAAACTTGTACGAATGAGACTATTTTTGTTTTTAGTCCTTCACCCATTGCAAGGTCTGGCAAAATAGAATTTTCTGAATGGGTATATGTATAATTAGGATTAGTGTTTCTAGACATATCTACTACAGACTTAGCAATTCAGGCAAATGTTTTAGCATTCGACTAAGTGTTCGTAAATCTTCAGCAAATGATACAAACGGGAATCTGAGAAATAATGGCGAGCTAAAAATAACGGATAAAAGCGGAAAAGCCGTCTGCTATATTGACATTAGCTCAGGACTGAAAAAGACAGACCTTTGAGTGAAAGCTTTCACAGAGCAGGAAATGCTTGAAAAAAACTGTAGATTGGAATTCTATGCAAAAATTACTAAAATGAGAGCATTAGAATGTTAGTACAGCACCTAAATTTTCGGAAAATTGCACAACATCTGGAATCGCCGAATTCTATAGAAATTTTTTTATACTGTCATAATTTTATTCGGTATAAAATTGTGCACTGACACACAGTAAATCAATCATTATTTTTTTCATGGCTGCAGGCCTTGATCTTCTTATGTTCTCATATAAAAATTCTAGATAAAACTTTCTTTCCGCTAAAATTAAGCATTGCGCTTTTGGAAGTATTCTACAAGAGATTTTTACAAATTTCTCATTTGCTTTGAACGTCTGGGCAAGTTCTTATGCGAACAAAAACATCGCAATTCAAACTGAAGACTTTTAGACTTCTTAGCAAGTCATATAATCAATCTTTCGTTCCAAATTCAATAAATTGTTCTAAGCAATCTGTTTTTACTATACTGGCTTATTCGTGTGATTGAAAAAAACGGCCCAGATCTTTCAAGAGAGCTCCTGCCACAAGCTTTCTCATTGTTCCCGAAACTTTGCTGTTTTCTTCAACTCCAGCTTCAGCTTAGATTAATAGTCTAGGAGGGGAAGATTTATGGGTAATCCGGGGGAGATGAGCTCCACGCAAGACTAGTTTGAGCTGAAGATTATTCACTTAGTCGGATGAGTTGCCTTCACCAAAAATGTCGAAATAAGCATGATTTCACTCCTAAGTGCCCATACGGGAAGGAAATAATTTTTCTTGATTTTCACATTTTCCTTTAAAAATATTGATTAGAGCAGGTTTTCGACCCCAGATTTGCGCATGTGCAATCACCGCTTCGTAAACCATAATCAAATGCTTCTGAACAGATTTCGGGCCTTCTTCCTCTAACCCAAACTCTTCCCAAACGATCATAGAACGCTAGTGAACTACGTGGAATCTAATTTAGCACTGCGTTGGTGGCAGAAGTGGTGGTAGCGGGGGGGGGGGGGGGGGGGACAGCTTTGATGGGACGGGACCTTTTAGGGCCAATTCGAATCCCATGAGGAAGTTTCGCGCGGCACGTTGTAAGAAGACAATAGATGGATTCGCCGAAAACATTTGTGCATTCTGTCGTTTTACCCCCGAAATTTTAAACGAAACAATCTTCATTTCCCCTCCCCCCCCCCCTCCCTCATGCTTCCGAGTCTCGAAAATCTGCGCGTAACGATGGCGACCTTTATGTTCTGGAGCAAAGTAGAAGCCATTCAATCAAGCGTTAAAGGTGGTCATGTCCCTGGAGCCCGTTCTTTGTTCGGATTCGAGACGAAACACCCACTTTCTTTGTTAACGTAATGGGGGCAGTGCTAAAAGGGTGCAGAAGAGCGGAAAGAAGCAGAGCCCAAAAAATTCAAAAATCACAAATGCTTCAAAATCCAAAAGTTAGCGGAGGAAAGAAAATAGAGTTTGGAATTATTGCGTTTTTTTGAAACTATATTCAGAATGGAAGGGGACTTGGTCAAACCCTTCCCATGCTATTCCACAGTCAACTTAAAGGAAAAAAATCAATAAGGGAAATTTTTTCCAGCAATCTTACAGTTGTGTAAAGCATCCCCAGTGTACATGGAATTTAGGGAAACTTCTATCAGTGAAGGGATGTATCACCTTAGGTATCCGCCATCGAAATATGAAGGCAAACTGAAACGGGAAAACAGAAAAAAATGAGAAAAAATTTTCTTATTTTTCTTCGAGTTTTTGCGCCAAAAACCAAAAAAAAACACATAGTTAGTGCAAATATCTCATCGATCATAATATAGATAATATAGATAATAGATAATATAGCAAGCTCAATATTCGATATTTAGTTCAATATTCATTTATAACATTTTATTATTTGTCCATTTTCTATCCATCTCTTTTCTTGAGCACAGTTTCAATCTTACTTTTCTATCTAAATGGTTTATTTATTTATAAATTTATAATTCTGCATCATTTTGGAAACTTAACAAAAAACAAAATTCCAAAAATAATTTATACTTTTCAACAACCGAGCTTCTTCAGCAGCTCCCCAATTTACGTACACAAGACCATCAAATACATTCATCGGAACGTTTGCATAATGGCGCGAGCCTACGCAAAATAGAAATGAATAACAACATAGGTGAAAGGCGTCAAAATTTGTATTTTATTTATTTTTGGTATAAAATATAATAGATATAAGTAGGAGACTATAAAAATATGGAATATTTGGCAGAAATCGGGTAAACGTAATCGAGTTTTTGCAAATTCAAATTTCTTCCATAGATAATTTGTGTATAGAATCTTCAAAGATAAGGCAATAATATAAAAAAGAAGGGAAGCTTTGGAGAAATGCGCAAGGGCTCAAATTTGCTTGAAAGAGAAAAATACACGGAATTTTCAGGAATAATATTGATAAAATTCTCTTTACCTGTACATAATAATCCTTTAATTTATGCACTTCACTGGCGTTCAACGCCAAACCCATACAATTCATGGCTGGCTAGTGTGGATTGTAGTGCGATGATGTACCGTAGTATTACAGTATCCCGTAAATAACAGTAATAGTGGCGTGTAGTTAGAACCGAATCGAGAAGAGCATATGTTACCGAATCCTCTGCGTTCCGTCTGTCCTCGTTGAGACTCGTCTGCTCTCTCAATCGAGCGCAAACCACGCCCCTTTTCTGAAAGAAGCCAGAGTTAAAGGGCTTGGAGGCGACCATGAGTGAATCAACTAATCCGGATAATGCATTCGGTATGCAACAGAAATCAAAAACAAGTGGAGCTGACTGAGAATGAGGAAGTCTTCTTCCAAAATTCAATTAGAATAGTGAAAACCTGCAAAGAAATGGAATATGTTCATGGCGCAAATTAGAGAATACTTTAATCTTATGGTAGAATTACGGTAATCCGGTGGTAAATTTGAGCAATAGGTTGAAATTTCGTTAAAAAATTGTGCTGTGGATTTTTTTCACAAATTTACGCCCTAGAACTGCGTTGAGCATCGCGGATTGCACTTTGAAAAAGAATGTATCGTCGAGTCATTCGTAACTTAATATGCGTAATGCACACTATACACACTAACTGACGAATTGAAAAACTACAACCTGCTCATTTACAATGTTTTCTCCTTGTTTCCTTGTCTCTTTTATTTTCGTTATTATATGTTAGTCAATAGAACACATTTCTACACTTTGTCAGGCTAGAAAATGTTTCATTGGAAAGTTAGCAGTAAAGGTGCCGTCGCTAATAGGGTTTAGTGTGCAGTCCCACATATTAAGTTACAAATGACTCGAGGTTATTTCCAATATAGAATCATTTATTATTGACAGCTTGTACATAGTTGAATGATTGCCAAGAAACAAACTGCGATAATGGACTTTTAAGAAAAAAGACAGGATAAATTATGACTTGAAAAAACGAGATTGCATAAACGCAAAAACGTGGAGTGTTGCCAGCAATAGCGCCGATATTTCGTGTTAGGCCCCGGACAGACTTCACGCGATTTGATCGTCGCGACTCAATCGCCGACATTTCCATTCATTTTCATTTCACGTTCAAATATTTCGGGCTGGAAAAGTATCACAACCGAAATGCAAGTTGATCGGCATGGAATGATTTTTTAACAGTTGTCTCGTCGCGATTCAATCGCGATGATCAAATCGCGTGAAGTGTGTCCGGGGCCTTAGATACAGTTTCTTTAGACGACAAAATTATCCTAAAAATCAAGAATAAAATTCATATAGTTAATGAATCTCCAAAAAATCAGAAAAAGAAAAACACCACAATATATTATAGTTGATCAATTTTTCGAAATCGAAAGATGAAGATTATGCATATAAGATGACCACTTTTGAAATCAAATAGTAAAGGATTTTGACATTCCATGTCCGATTGTCACTGAATCTCGGCATCGCGTATAACTTTGAGCTTGTTTTTTGAGCCTTGAGCCAAGATTGGTAATAACCTTTATTTTGGGCTAACGTTTCGGCGGCGTCGCCTTCTTCAGAGCCTGAAAAGGTCAGAAACATTGCGACTCATCCGCTCAAACACCTTGTCAGCCTACAGAAACAAAACTCAACATTATAACAAGCACTACTACGGTACCAGAGGACAGACCAAGCTAGCGCTCACCTCAACAGCCTTAACGGTAAACAGAGCGAGTACCACCGACTGAGATAATGCCCTCATTAGTAAACTAGCCTCTTTTATACGCATCTGACCTCGACCTCATAGATCAAAACCCACAGAGGTTTTGATATAGAGCCAGTTCGTTGGTCACAGCGATGCATTCGTCTTTGCGGTTCATTTTTGGGTTCTTGGATGTTATCCAGAACGCCTCTAATGTTTTCCGCGCTATCACTTCAGTTTCTCGCGATAGGATCGTGACAGATGTTTCGAAAAGTTGATTTTCATGGCACTGCCTACGATGGGCGCCCAGTGGTGTGCATGTTTTAGATTTTTGAAGACCATCCAGGTGCTCCTTAATTCTTACGCACAGCGGCCTGCCTGTTTCTCCTATGTATTGGTCCCCGCATGACAAACAAGTTATGATATATACCACGCCTGACTCCATGCAATCACCCGGTTTTCCGGCGGGGCAGATCACGCAACCTGGGTTTGTGCAAATGCGATCGTAGGCGCGGTTGCGGTTGCGAAAACATTAGAGGCGTTCTGGATAACATCCAAGAACCCAAAAATGAACCGCAAAGACGAATGCATCGCTGTGACCAACGAACTGGCTCTATATCAAAACCTCTGTGGGTTTTGATCTATGAGGTCGAGGTCAGATGCGTATAAAAGAGGCTAGTTTACTAATGAGGGCATTATCTCAGTCGGTGGTACTCGCTCTGTTTACCGTTAAGGCTGTTGAGGTGAGCGCTAGCTTGGTCTGTCCTCTGGTACCGTAGTAGTGCTTGTTATAATGTTGAGTTTTGTTTCTGTAGGCTGACAAGGTGTTTGAGCGGATGAGTCGCAATGTTTCTGACCTTTTCAGGCTCTGAAGAAGGCGACGCCGCCGAAACGTTAGCCCAAAATAAAGGTTATTACCAATCTTGGCTCAAGGCTCAAAAAACAAGCTCAAAGTTAAAGGATTTTGTTTTGATTGTTTTCAAGACAAATAGAAGTGGATAAAAATTTGCAGCTGCATTTAACGATTTGCATGATTTTTGAGGAAAATTTTTTGCACAAACTTATTCATTGTCTTGCAAAATCAGCTTTCTCAAATTCGAAATTGCAGAAACTTTCTTTTGCTGCGTCAGTTCTTTCTGTGGCATATCTGTCATTTTCAGTTTGTCGAGATGCTGCCAAATCTCTTTGCATAAAGTTTTTATCCTCATAAATCCTTTCACGGAACGAAATGGGAGCGAAGGCGGAAAATTTATTGTTATAGACTTGCGAGGTGGTTTTGTCGTGAAGGTGCTGTAATATCCATTTGTCTTTTCATCTTAGAAAAAAAGCAGATTTACTTGAGGTATGAGAGTTTCTGCGATTTTTGAGGTCTATCGGTGAATTAAATGAGATTTTTGTTCTCAAAAAAATTACGGAAGTATTCTATCTAGATTTGACCTGAAAGGAAACTGTAGTCTGGTTTTCTAGTTCCCAAGAATTCAACTCCCACATCAACAAACATCAGAATAGAAGCTAAAAGAAATTGTGTGAGAAGGTGTCAAGAAAGAAAACGTCTACATAAAAGTTCGTTCGTCATATCTCCTAGGCTACGCATGATTTAATATTCTTACGCGCACAGAAATGACAAAAGTTCGACTTCCTGGTGTCCGAGACAAAGCTTTTATGGGCTAAGTGACTATTCAGCAGAAGATTTTGCAAGTTTGCTGAAAAAATTTTGAAACATTACTTCTTTAGCTCTTGCAAAGAAAACTAAGTATTGGGGCTTCAGGCCAAATTCATATGGAACAAAAAAAACTTTATTACGAAAAAATGCACCAATGCAAATTATGTTCTTATGGTCTTTTAGCAGTCTCCTATGTGATAAGACTGCTTGATCTTTGTAATTTTTGCTGCAAATTACATCAGAGGATACTGCAGCAATGTGTAAAACTCGTTTAGCTTTTCAAAAAGAAAGTTTTCATTTTCTCCTTTTATAGGCTGGATAAACGAAAAAATAACAATTATATCTGAATATCGTGACTGTATGTAGTATAGTATTTCCACCCTTGATGTTCCCCTGACTGAAGCAGAGGAGCTTTTCCAAACAGGCGGTTAAGAAGCTTTTGAATTGATGACCAAGACGAACTCATTTTTCAAAAGTCGTAAGCTTTTGGCCAAAAACAAAAGAAGATTTTGGTCTCAAAGCAGCTAGCTTCTCAGGGAGACCAGGTTCGCTTACTAGGTATTCAAACTGTTTAGTGAAGTAGCGCCTTCTAAGGACAACAGAGTTATCACAATAGCTCATTAAACTTATGTATTTTGATTTATTGTTTATTAATTGTTTTATTGACCTTCATCGTATTTGATTTTCTCTAAAAGAAATCACCAGACAATTGAGATTATTCACAGGCCCAAAAGATATCATCCAACCTACTCTAAAATTATCCAGTTATGTGCTTTAAAGTATTTGCTTATTAGTATGAGTCTTGATAAAATGTAAACGAATAAAAGTAGTTTACTGGAAACGATTTTACTAGGAATTCGCGAGGATCTAATTTTTCTAAATTTAGAGCAACAATAACAGGTTTGACTGTAGTTTTCAAATGATTCTCTATCCTCCATCGTCTTTGAGGGTCTTTATCACTTCTGATAAGTTGCTATCAGTGGCGTACCGAGGGGGGGGGGCGCCCCCCCCCCCCCGAGAACGGGTCGCGAAATTTTTGAAAGCTTATATGGGTTACAAAATTGTGCAAATGACTTGTCTGCACTTGAAAATAATTAAAATAATTTTTAAAATTTTTTAAAAATAAAGCATTATAAAAAATTTTTTCGGGGGCGTGGCTGACGCCACACCCCCTTTTTCCAGATTTTAGGAGTTGGGGACCCGCAAAAATTTTGAGAAGCACCCCAAAAATTTTTTCGGAGTGCGTGGCTGACGCCACGCACCTTCATTAGAAAAAAATTTTTGTCGCGCCCCCCCCCCCCCGAGCCGAAATCCTGGGTACGCCACTGGTTGCTATATATAATTTTTTATTTTTATTTACTTATTCGATGCGCTCTAAGGTGCTACAAAAGCAGTGAATATAAGAGAGGCGAAATTCAAAAAGCAACGAATGTATATTTTGTTGAGTTTGGTTATTTAGTTATTTGCGTTATAATGCTCGTCACGAATAATTAGTCAAAATGCAAGATAATGTCATATAGAGACTATTTACTTCGTTTTGAGTCATGATAACAATGTAATAAAATTATGAATTAGTAGAGAAAAGTAAACAGTGAATTCGGAGTTTGTTCAGATAAAAGTACGAAAATCCAAAGATTCCATAAATATCATGATTATATTGTTGCTTTTGCTTGGTTCATTACTCTCAGTCTTCTTTAGAAGCCTTCATTACTCTCAATTAAGTTTTCATTTCACAAACAGCCAAAATTACTTTCAACTACGCATGATGATATCATACATTCTACTGAAAAAAAGCTCTTTTTTTTGCAGGCACGTTCAAATAAAAATACAGCTGAATATAAACGAGATAAATTTAACAATTATGGAATTTTCGAATAACAACAGTGACGTGTT